AATTTGAAACCAATAAACTAAAACGGAAAAAATATGACAAAACAAACAATTCAAACTGACACAAAAGATTTATACTGGTTCGGTGTAAGCCTACATCCAGTTCGAGGACATCGAGGAAGTTCCACTAATAAACAAAATGAGATTATGTATCTTGAGGCTTTTGCAATCGCTTAGTTCAACGTAACAAGCCCCTAAAGATTTCTAATTGACGAAGGTAGTTCTTCAATTGCAGGCCCAACTAAATAAAGCTCTGATAGCTTCTCCATAAGATCTGAAATATCTGGAAACTTCTCAAGGTTTGAGCAACCAGAAAGATTAAGCGTTTGAAGATATCCCATATGAATGTTGCTCGGCAGGCTCTTGAGTTCTCAACAGCCTCTTAGGTCCAAAATAGTAAGGCCTGTGAGTTTATTAATTGACAAATGCAGTTCTTTAATTGCAGTCTCATCTGAATCAAGCTCTGATAGCTTCTCCATAACATTTGAAATATTTGGAAACTTCTCAAGCATTGAGCAACCAGAAAGATTAAGGGTTTGAAGAGATCATATAAATACTGCTCAGTAGGCTCTTGAGTTCTCGACGGCCTCTTAGATCCAAAACAGTAACGCCCGTGAGTATATTAATTGACGAAGGCAGTTCTTTAATTGCAGTCCCAACTAAATAAAGATTTGATAGCTTCTCTGTAACATCTAAAATATCAGGAAACTTCTCAAGGTTTGAGCAACCAGAAAGATTAAGGGTTTGAAGAAATCCCATATGAATGTTACTCGGTAGGCTCTTGAGTTCTCAACAGCCTCTTAGGTCCAATATAGTAAGGCATGTGAGTTTATTAATTGACGAAGGCAGTTCTTTAATTGCAATCTTATATAAATGAAGCTCTGATAGCTTCTCTATAACATCTGAAATATCTGGAAACTTCTCAAGCATTGAGCAACCAAAAATATTAAGGGTTTGAAAAGATCTCATATGAATGCTGCTCGACAGGATCTTGAGTTCTCGACAGCCTCTTAGATCCAAAACAGTAAGGCCTATGAGTATATTAATTGACGAAGGCAATTCTTTAATTGCATTCCTATCTAAATAAAGCCCTGATACCTTCTCCATAACTTCTGAACAATTTGGAAACTTCTCAAGCATTGAGCAACCAGAAAGATAGGTGTGACAACCCATCCTTGAAATTATGTTTTTATTTATTTTAATCGAGGGAATCGAAGAAAATGCCCCTAGAGGCCAGGACTTTGATTTCAGTTAATCATCGTCTAGAGAAACGTATGATTTTTTTTTAGCGTAATTGGGTAGTACTCGACGATACGAACGCGTGGGCATAAGCGGATTTGAATTTGGAGCAACAACGGGGATATTGTGGAATTCAAATGTAAGGGTATTTTGGTAAGTTCACAAATGGAGATATTTCTCCACTTTGGACACCACATGACTGACACGTGGCACCTTATTTCTGGTGCCCTTTTCTTTTCCCCTTTGTGATCTCTCCCTCGAGAACTTTCTCGTGTCTTCTCTCTCATCTCTGTCAACTCTCTCTCTCTGCCAGTTCAACAAAAAACGTCACCACCTACTGCCTTCTTTGGCGAGCTTCGCCATAGCACCACCATAACTTTCTCATCTCCAACTCTCTTTGGTGAGCTTCGCCATAGCACCACCGTAATTTGGAAGCAACCTAGGAAAAATTTCCCAGATTTCTAGAAAACAAGACTCGTGGCCATTTGACCATTTTCAGACCAATTTGCCGGCCAATTATGATCTTCGTTGGGCCTCCTAAGGGTATGACTCTCTTCTCTAGATTTCTAACTTCATTATGGATTTTCAATCATCAAGTTTGGTTAAGAATTGAATTAGAAACTAGCTATGAAAGTTGGGAAGAAATTTCCAAAATTCTGGAAAGTTTGGCCGTGACCATCGGGCCACTTTTAGGTCGTTTCCCCGTTCAACTCAGGCCACGATTGGACCCCGAAGTAGTATAAACCTTTTCCCCACATTCCTAGTTTCTAGTTGGCTTTTGAATCATTGAATTTGGTTTAAGTATTGAGTTAGAAATTAGCCTTGGAAGTTAGGATGAAAATAAGCAAAATTATGACCTTCGCGAGGAAGACGATTACTGGTGTACTCGCGACACGTGGGATGCCGGCGCCTTTAATTTAAAAAAAATAATAATAATCCTCCCTTCCCACTCTCACATTCTCTCTCACTCTTTTGCTCTCTTATGCTCTCCTTTAATTTTAAAAACAAAAAAAATATTCACACACCCTTTGTGCATGGCTATATTCTAGTAAATTTTAAATAAAAGTGTAGTAATTAAAAAATTGAAAAGAAATAACCGCTTCTTACTGAGAAGTTAATGACTTTTTATGTTGAATTTATTCTAAATATAAAATTAAGCCAATTTAAAAAAAAAACAATAAAGTATCCAAAAAAAAAACCAAATGCAAAAGAAAAAGGCTAGTAATAAAATAAGGGTAGATCTATTCACACATATTTTTTTCCCTCTCACATATTCTTATTAATTTTTTCATTTGATCTTCTTCAAATTATTTGATTCGACTGCCAAAAATAAATAAAAAAATGTGTGAAAGAAAAAGATAAGTATCTGGATAACACTATCCTAAAATAATTCTTCAACGTATTGGAAAATTCAAATACGAATTGGACTAGCCCGGTTTTAAATTTTTAAAAGGCCCATCAGAATGAGTCCAAATAGGCCCACGGCCCGCAAACATTATTATTATTATTTTTTTTTTTTCCGTCAAAAGAAAATCCCATTTCATGAGTTTAGTTTGTATGGGTGAAGCCATCGTGATTTGAATTCAGCAGCATAAGCTGCTCATGGCGGTATTGATCCAAATTACTCGTATTTTCGCGAATCCCAGCGGATAAATTGGCGGCTCTGGTTAGCGCGGACCTCCAGCTCTCCACCTCTTTCATTTCGGCATTCGATTCGCGTTCGTTTTGAGGAAAAAGCTTCTGCAAAACTTATCTTGAGCTTACGAACTTCAGATGGATCAACTTGGTAGAAAATCGGCACCACTGTCTGCTTCTTTGCGTCCATGCACGCCAGGATTTTGACCAGTTCTTTCAAGCACCCCGTCGAATAAGCGTAGTTCTGGGAGAAAACCACGATCGAAAGCCTCGACGATTCGCTTATGATTGAGCTGCTAACTCAACTGAACTACAATTGGATCACCGGAAAATGGTCTGACCGACACGAAGTCAATGAGCCAATGCAAATTAGATCATTACGTAAAGTACACTAATCTGGTTTTGAAACTCAGCAAATCTTAAATGACCCTTTCCTTTTATTTATTATTAATTTTTACGGTAGAGCAACGTTGGTGGTTTAGGTAATTAGTTATTAAAGAAGAGGAAAATCTGTAAGGATTGAATTCACAACAAATCCATAAGGATCGAATTGGCATCAAAGTGTATATGCATTATTATTTTTCGTCACTGTAGTAAAGCGCCAACTGCAAATCTCATGAGTATAATTTGTATGAATATGTTTTTTTTAGTATAAATGATATTCTATACCATCTATACTTTTCCTTTTTGTTAAAGAACCCTCGATTGTGCGAGGTGAAATTTTATTGAAATAAAAAGGCAAATACACCTAGTGTAACCAAACAAACAAAAAAATGATATTCTACACTACGCGATATCGTTCAACTATGTTGAATCTTCATCTGCATACCCAACCCAATAACTTCTTTGTAAATCGGAAATATATTCCGATCTCGCTATTCATATGAAAAATGAGTTAGAGTGATTGGAAATATCCTCGAGGTAAGTGTCAGCTTCTCACATATGTGTCATGTCTAATAGCATCGTTTGGCTTCTAAACTACTGTCACATTATTAATGGTACTACTCTGAAATCTTTCATATGTATGACGAGGATAATGCGCGTTTTCTATTAAAAATATGAGAGTTGTATGATGTACCTTTTATTGTATTTTTGTTCGGATGTACCTTTCATTGTTTTTGTTTGAATTTGGGTGTGCCAAGAAAGAGTAGAGGTAACAATTTTAGACAGATTCGATAATCCGACTTGAAAAGGACAAAAAATAAGTTTGTTTGGGTTGGGCATAATCGTGCTGACCCATTTATCGTGGTTAATAAGAGTTTGTGTTCCCATCCAACCCACCTAATTTGAAAGTGACGTACATTTTAGCACGCTTACACAATTGTGTAACTAGATAACTCGTGTGTAATTATTTAAGTTGAACGTGAAATGATAGTTTAACCTTTTTCTTTCATGTAAACTTTGTATTCTTAGTAGTAGCTAATAGTGACGCCTTTGGGTTGTATTCATGTCGAGAAGTTTTTTCGTGCGGCCGGCAAATTATTTGGTACACCAAGAATTAATGATACAATTCATTATAATTTTTTTTTTTAAGTTTCCAACCAATTATTATTAAATTTGGTGTACTGAGCCGTATGTCAAGCACACTAAAAAATCTATTGTTTATGTCAACACGAACCAGAAACGTCCGGAAGAGCAATTAAGGGTACTTGGTATTTATGTCTTGTGGCTGCAAAGTTATTACAGCTCTACAAAGTGATATTCTAAGTTCGTATGGAACAGAATTGAGCAATTAAAAACTTAATTATTCTAATTAATCTTGTTTTCATGATAGCACACTTCATTTTACTTCTCGCACACCCCTTGATAATTTCTGTCCGTTGATCTTCTTCAATTCATCCGATCCGACAGTCGAAAATTAAAAGAATGTGTGAGAAGTAAAATAGGATGTGTGGATATCACACCCCTTGAATTTTTCAATTTCAGCACATCGAGCCATTTCTCTTGTTCTAATTTTGAATTAACATTACAACAAGCTCATCTCAACCTCTGTCAATGTCAAATTGGACGACTCACATTATCTGAATTGGCACTTCCAAATACAACAAGCTCGGGGTTCAATGTGTTGTGCGGGAAACACTAACTTGAAACCAATAAACTAATACGGAAAAATATGACAAAACAAACAATTAAAATGACACAAAGATTTATACTGGTTCGGCGTAAACCTACATCCAGTTCGGGGACAGCAAGGAAGTTTCACTAATAAACAAAAGGAAAAGGAGATTACAAAGAGTACTCTCAAACTCAAACCCAAAATACACCCAGATACACTCACAAATAGAAGAGGGAAAAAACGAATTACAAACAAAATATTTGTTTCTCTACAACTACAACAATCGCTAATTGGTTTCACTCTTACAGAACCTTAAACGCAGCAGCTCCCCATTTTACTTCTCTCTTCCATTGGGTGTCGGCTCTTCTCTTTCCTTTACACTAGTGCAGCTGCTTGTATTCACATTTCCCACCGTCTCATCCAAATTCGACACAATGCGAGGCTTTAAATACGAGCACTAAAGAGACCTAGCATGGGATCCGCATATGCCAACTAAAGAGCCACAACAGTTTGGTTTTAGGTCCGCGTAGAAAGTGTTGAGACCCAACAGGACTGAGCCATCAAATCCAACACAGAGGGATTGTTCTCTTCAGTTTTCCTTTGCCCCATCAGGAAGTACCAATCTTTTAGAATACAAATCCTCTGCGTCAGAGGTATCACTTCCATTTTGTTCACCCTCGTTATAGCAACACCCTTCACGGTTCCTCTCAGAATGTGCAACTCTTACCATTGATTTGCCAAAAGCACGAAGTTCGGCTTCAGAATTCTCATGATGATAGTGTTGTTCTTGAAAGTGGAATTGATCCGGCTGTATCATGCTTCAATAACGCACCACCTCAAATTTGGGATAAAAGGGACCACACGGGCTTACAATTAGCTTCCTCTCACAATTGGCATAAAAGAGATTATGCACCTCCTCACAGTTGGCATAAAAGAGACGAACTCCACTCCTTCTGACGCGATGCTGCTGAACTGGTGCCCCAGAATCACATAATCTGACTCAAGTAACCTGCCTCTTGTGATGCTCAAATCAAGCAAATCAAAGCAGAAACCGCGCTCGCCATGCATGCTCTCCTTTGAAGGTACAAAAACACAGAGCAGATAGATCAGATGCATAATGTGCATACTTGAACTTAGTAACACCGCACACAGCGAATCCTAAAATCTTATGATCCAAGACTGGTGGTAGATGCACAGTTACGGAAGATCTGCTACACTGATGGCTGAACCAATCTGAAAGTTTACTTCCAGGAAGATACATAAACAAGGAAAGAGGTTGCGGATTACCCTGCAGAATGAAAACAAAGGTAAACTGGACTTGCATTAGATATGTTTCATACTTTTGCACGTAGAGAGAGAGAGAGAGAGACCTGATGAGCTTCCACAACATCTTCAAATAGATTTTGCACCAGCTGGAAGCAGTTTGAAAATGTCAAGTAAAGATTCTTCGGAAAAAACTTGCTTGGTCTTGAAACAGATACCAAAGCCGTGCAATCATGGGCATCTATGAACCTTATAGTTGATGAAATCTCTGGTATTGATTTCAGTCCCTTGCAACCTTCCAATTTGAGACTTGTTAACCAATGAAGCCAATTCATTTCCGCAGGCAAGCTCTCAAAATTGTTTCTGCAGAGTTCTAATGTACTCAATAATGATAAATGAGCAATACCCAATAATTCCAACACCTCAAACTTTGGGCAACCAGAAAGACTAAGATAGTGAAGGGCCTTGAGATCACAAATGCTGCTTGGGAGACTTGAGTTTTCTAAAATCTCTTACGTTCAACGTAACAAGACCTGGAAGATTTCTAATTGAAGAAGGCAGTTCTTTAATTGCAGTCCCATCTAAATATAACTTTGATAGCTTCTCCATAACATCTGAAATGTCTGGAAACTTCTCAAAGTTTTGAGCAACCAGAAAGATTAAGGGTTTGAAGAGATCCCATATGAATGCTGCTCGGCAGGCTCTTGAGTTCTTGACACCCAGATAGGTCCAAAACAGTAAGGCCCGTGAGTTTATTAATTGACGAAGGCAGTTCTTGAATGGCAGTCCCATCTAAATATAACCTTGATAGCTTCTCCACAACATCTGAAATATCTGGAAACTTCTCAAGCATTGAGCAACCCGAAAGAATAAGGGTTCGAAGAGATCCCATATGAATGCTACTCGGCAGGCTCTTGAGTTCTTGACACCCAGATAGGTTCAAAACAGTAAGGCCCGTGAGTTTAGTAATTGACGAAGGCAGTTCTTTAATGGCAGTCCCATCTAAATATAACTCTGATAGATTCTCCATAACATCTGAAATATCTGGAAACTTCTCAAGCATTGAGCAACCCGAAAGAATAAGGGTTTGAAGAGATCCCATATGAATGCTGCTCGGCAGGCTCTTGAGTTCTTGACACCAAGATAGGTTCAAATCAGTAAGGCCCGTGAGTTTATTAATTGATGAAGGCAGTTCTTTAATGGCAGTCCCATCTAAATATAACTCTGATAGATTCTCCATAGCATCTGAAATCTCTGGAAACTTCTCAAGGTTTGAGCAACCAGAAAGATTAAGGGTTTGAAGAGATCCGATATGAATACTGCTCTGCAGGCTCTTGAGTTCTTGACAGCCTCTTAGGTTCAAAATAGTAAGGCCCGTGAGTTTATTAATTGATGAATGCAGTTCTTTAATAGCAGTCCCATCTAAATGAAGCTCTGATAGCTTCTCCATAACATCTGAAATATCTGGAAACTTCTCAAGCATTGAGCAGCCCGAAAGAATAATGGTTTGAAGAGATCCTACATGAATGCTGCTCGGCAGGCTCTTGAGTTCTCGACAGCCTCTTAGGTTCAAAACAGTAAGGCCCGTGAGTTTATTAATTGACGAATGCAGTTCTTTAATGGCAGTCCCACCTAAATAAAGCTTTGATAGCTTCCCCATAACATCTGAAATATCTGGAAACTTCTCAAAGTTTGAGCAACCAAAAAGTTTAAGGGTTTGAAGAGATCCCATATGAATGCTGCTCGGCAGGCTCTTGAGTTCTCGACACCGAGATAGGTCCAAAACAGTGAGGCCTGTGAGTTTATTAATTGACGAAGGCAGTTCTTTAATTGCAGTCTCGTCTAAATAAAGCTCTGATAGCTTCTCCATAACACCTGAAATATCTGGAAACTGCTCCAGGTTTGAGCAACCAGAAAGATTAAGGGTTTGAAGAGATCCCATATGAATGCTGCTTGGCATGCTCTTGAGTTCTCGACAGCCTCTTAGGACCAAAATAGTAAGGCTCGTGAGTTTATTAATTGACGAAGGCAGTTCTTTAATTGCAGTCTCGTCTAAATAAAGCTCTGATAGCTTCTCCATAACACCCGAAATATCTGGAAACTGCTCCAGGTTTGAGCAACCAGAAAGATTAAGGGTTTGAAGAGATCCCATATGAATGCTGCTCGGCAGGCTCTTGAGTTCTCGACACCGAGATAGGTCCAAAACAGTGAGGCCTGTGAGTTTATTAATTGACGAAGGCAGTTCTTTAATTGCAGTCTCGTTTAAATAAAGCTCTGATAGCTTCTCCATAACACCTGAAATATCTGGAAACTGCTCCAGGTTTGAGCAACCAGAAAGATTAAGGGTTTGAAGAGATCCCATATGAATGCTGCTCGGCAGGCTCTTGAGTTCTCGACACCGAGATAGGTCCAAAACAGTGAGGCCTGTGAGTTTATTAATTGACGAAGGCAGTTCTTTAATTGCAGTCTTGTCTAAATATAACCTTGATAGTTTCTTCATAACATCTGAAATATCTGGAAACTTCTCAAGCATTGAGCAACCTGAAAGATTAAGAGTTTGAAGAGATCCCATATGAATGCTGCTCGGCAGGCTCTTCAGTTCTTCACAGCGTCTTAGGTCCAAGAGAGTAAGGCCCGTGAGTTTATTAATTGAAGAAGGCAGTTCTTCAATTGCAGTCCCAACTAAATAAAGCTCTGACAGCTCCTCCATAACTTCCGAAATCTCAGGAAACTTCTCAAGGTTTGAGCAACCAGAAAGATTAAGGGTTTGAAGAGATCCCATATGATTGATGCCCGGAAGGCTCTTAAGATTTTCACAGCCTCTTAGGTCCAAAAAAGTAAGGCCCGTGAGTTTATTAATTGACGAAGGCAGTTCTTTAATGGCAGTGCTATCTAAATATAACTTTGATAGATTCCCCATAACATCTGAAATATCTGGAAACTTCTCAATGTTTGAGCAACCAGAAAGTTTAAGGGTTTGAAGAGATCCCATATGAATGCTGCTCGGCAGGCTCTTGAGTTCTCGACACTGAGATAGGTCCAAAACAGTGAGGCCTGTGAGTTTATTAATTGAAGAAGGCAGTTCTTTAATTGCAGTCCCAACTAAATAAAGCTCTGACAGCTCCTCCATAACTTCCGAAATCTCAGGAAACTTCTCAAGGTTTGAGCAACCAGAAAGATCAAGGGTTTGAAGAGATCCCATACGAATGATGCCCGGAAGGCTCTTAAGATTTTCACAGTCTCCTAGATTCAATATAGCAAGGTTTTTCAGAGCTGAAATGGATGGGTCAACCTCATATAACTCTGTACAACCTTTGAGATTTAGTTCCTTAAGACTTGTAGCCTTTGTGAAGTCGGGGGTTTTCTTAAGGCTTTCACAATAACTTAAATTGATGAATTTCAACTTTTCCAGAGGCTGTTAAAAAGTACAGGAAAACATGCACAACACATCTCAGAACCTAAACATTGAAAATAAATATATTTACGTAAATGAAAAATCGTACCTCAGCTCCTGTCCAAAGTTGTTCGATGCGACTATTGCTCATGTCAAGGTTTACAAGATTCTTGAACTGGAAGTTGGATGGCCAAGACTTGAGGGGGCAACCACGCCAGATGAGACACCTCAACTGAGAACTTTGGAACTTTAAGTCCGCAATCCAGTGTTTTATGAAGCAATCATGTGGAGCTCGATTGTCAAATGAATCCCCGAATGCAAGCTCATCTTCTGCTTCAGTTGAAGTTTGACTGTCAAATGAATCCTCGGATACAAACCCATATTCGTCAAAGTAACCATCACGTATCATGAGCAGTCTTAGTTTTGTCATACTAACAAATGCTTCAGTATTTGAGCATCTCTCTTTAAAGATTGCTGAATCCAGGATTATGCCTTCAATTGCTTCTGTAGCCTGGATAAACCAACAATGTAAATTAAAGTGAAGGAAAACACAAAGAACCTTATTGAATATTATAAACAATGCATGTTTGCTATAAAATAGATTTTCGTCGAAAGCTGAAGCTTTCTACGAAACATTGCATAAGAGAAAGATATCTCACTGTTTTTTGAGTCAGCACATGACGAACATCTTCATAACTCCACAACCTACTTCTTCTCCCAGGCTCTTTGATACATTCTTGGCGAACGATTTCCCGACCCATTTCCTCTAGTAAATCATGCATCACCAGTTCCCCCCACTTTGACACAGATATGAGAGCTCGGTCGATTAGAACTCTTATTCCACGATGGGGATATAAGCCACAACTGTCCAGACTTTTTTTTGCACTGTCTATATCCATTCCTTTCAAGAAACATGCAATATCTAGAAAGATGTCCTTGTCTGACTCATCTAGTCCATCAAAGCTCGTTTTAAGCACATTATGAATTCCCTTTTGCGGGATTTTCCTTATTTTTTCCAACTCATCTTCCCACTCGGGCACAGTTTTGTTATCAAGAAAAGCTCCCAACACTTTGAGTGCTAAAGGCAGACCTTGGGCATATTGTATGGCACGCCTTGAGAGCTGACCATAATTTCGGGTGGGTTGGATTGTTCTGAAGGCATACTGGTAGAAGAGTTTAAGAGCTTCTGGCTCACTTAAGTTCTCGGGCTTATATACAGCACCAGCTCCACTTAATAATTGTTTATCTCTAGTTGTTATAATGACCCGACTTCCACCACCAAATGAATGCTGCTTTCCAAGTAAGGCTTCGATTTGGGATAATTCATCAACGTCATCAAGAACAATGAAAACTTTTTTCCTTTGTAGCCTTTGTAGCCTTTCCAACGTGCCTAAACTCTGCACCTTTTCCTGCTTCAAGATTCTAGAAAGAAGCATTTCTTGCATATGTACTGCACCATTCTTCGAGAAGCCTTCCTTGACATTTTCGAGAAAGCAGCAAGCTTCAAATTGACATGCGATTCCATCATAAACAGCGCGAGCGATGGTGGTTTTGCCTATACCTCCCATACCCCATATTCCAACAGTGAAAACATCATCCACCCCAGGACGTAATAGTGAATTCACTGCATCTATGTGGTAATCCATTCCAACCAAGCCATTATCTTTGCTTGGCGAGACTTGGATATATCTCTTATATATGTCATCCACAATTTCCTCAATAAGCTTGGCATCATCCCTGTGTAATACGAAAAACAGCACCGAATTAAACTAAATGCTATAAAAATCTCAATTCATAAGTAATTAAGAATATAATCGAACAGTAATTACTCGTATTTTCGCGAATCCCAGCCGGATAAATTGGCAGCTCTGGTTACCGCGGACCTCCAGCTCTCCACCTCTTCCATGTCGGCGTTCGATTCGCGTTCGTGTTGAGCAAAAGCTTCTGCAAAAATTTTCTTTTGCTTACGAACTTCAGATGGATCAACTTCGTAGAAAATCGGCACCACTATCTGCTTCTTTGCGTCCATGCACGCCAGGATTTTGACCAGTTCTTTCAAGCACCACGTCGAAGAAGCGTAGTTCTGGGAGAAAACCACGATCGAAATCCTCGACTCTTCGATAGCTGAGAGGAGCTGCAAAAGATCGTCGCCTTTTCTGATCTCTTCGGCGTCGATGAAGGTGATTAATTTCTGATCCAGAGCTCTGTAGAGATGGCCGACGAAGATCTTGCGAGTGTCTACGCCTCTGAAATTCAGGAAGACGTTGTATTTCAATGAGGAAGAGGAAGGAGCAGCCATTGACATCTGACAGGGACAATATCCACAGCAGATGGTCAGCTACCGACTCGCCTAATGCAACGTAAAAGCTGAAATGGCCGATTGAGCGTCAGCTTTTGGAGTTGGGAGTTAAACGATTGGCTGGAAAAATTGTACCCAAAGATATGATTCTGTTTGGCTCACCGGTGCGGCGATGTTGGGTTCGTGGAGGATGATGGAGCATTCGTGTCCTGCACTTTTTGGGCTGTCTTTTGGTTTATCTCGTGCATCTGTTGGAGGTTCTGTGTTGGGAGGTTTTTTGCTTGACCTTATCTTCTTCTGGATCCCTGCGGCCGTTCATCCGTTTGGCTCAGCAGTGCGGCGATGGGGACGACGACTTCAACAGTTTCTCTGCTGCTAGGGTTTTCTTCTTCTTTGAGCTTTGTTTCTGTTTGGGCCTAATCTCTGTTTTTGGGGGCTTGTTTCGTTTCCGTTGTGATTTTTTTGTTTGTTTTAATGAAATATTAAAACAACAAAAAAAAAATGTAATTTTAAGAAAACTAAATTTTTTAAGTTAAATTTATAAATTAAGTTGTAGTTATAGATGGCTAGTATTTGCCTACACATTTTGTGTATTTGAACACATTTTTTTTTAGAAAATGAGAAGGAGAAAGAGGAAGAGAGAGAGAGAACGTGGAGGAGTGGGAGGTTTTTTTTTTTTTGGTTTTTTTTATATAAATATTAGAGGTATTTTAACATCATTCGTAGGTGAAACTTCAATAAAAAAAAGTAAAATTTGGACTTGTGAAATTACATTATTGACCATCATTTTTTTTTTGTGATAGAAGACTAATTTGTAATATCCCACTTCGCCCAGGAGAGTGATTCTTAAATGTATATTCTCATCCCTACCTAGCATGAGACCTTTTGGGAGCTCACTGGCTTCGAGTTCCGTATGAACTCTGAAATTAAGCGAGAAGGAGGCTAGAGCACTCCCAGGATGGGTGACCCACTGGGAAGTTGCTCGTGAGTTTCCAAAAACAAAATCGTGAGGGAATGGTAAGCCCAAAGCGGACAATATCATGCTACGGTGGTGGAACGGGTCCGTGAAGTGGTGGACCCGGGCCGGGATGTGACAAATGGTTTCAGAGCCAATCTCTGGCCGGAAGTGTGTCAACGAGGACGTCAGGCCCCTAAGGGGGTCGATTGTAACATCCCACATCGCCCAGGGGAGTGATCTTTAAATGTATATTCTCATCTCTACCTAGCACGAGGCTTTTTGGGAGCTCACTAGCTTCGGTTTCCATAGGAACTCTGAAGTTAAGCGAGAAGGAGGTCAGAGCACTCTCAGGATGGATGACCCACTAGAAAGTTGCTCGTGAGTTCCCAAAAACAAAACCGTGAGGGAATGGTAAGCCCAGAGCAGACAATATCGTACTACGATGGTGGAACGGGCCCGGAAAGTGGTGGACCCGGGCCAGGATGTGACAAATTTGTCTTTTCACCCTCTTTTGGTTGACAAAAAAAGTTTTATTAATTAGTAGAGATTAGATTATTCATTGAATGTCGATTAACGTGATGTTTTTAATTGGTGAAATATTATTTAACTTGTAAATTTGATTTAAAATTTTGATTTCCTTAACATTATTAAAAATATATAATTCTATAAAATTTGAAAGAAAAAAACTCTGTAAAATCGTCGGAGAGTCAAATGAGTCAACGAAAATAAGTTTCTTTTTACTAGGTGGTTTCCTAGCACCATCTCAAAAAAAAAAATGTAATTCTATAAAATTGGAAAGAGAGAATACTCTGAAAAATGTTCGGGAAGTTAATGAGTTTCTTTCTACTAGGTTTGTACATAAAAATAATAATATTACTAATTTATCTTCACTGTTACCACTTAATATTCTGGTCTAATAGTATTCATTTTCACTTCTAATTTTTAGTTTCAATTATCGCTAAAGGTGAATTTGAACCACATTATTGCTAGGTCATTGTAAGGCTTAGCTCACCCTTTCTCTTAGTACAAATAATATCGTTTGTTAAAAAAGTTATTTTTGTCATTAGGAAGCCAGAACTTTACTTTAAAGTCACAAGGTGTCACAGGGTATTTTTGTAAAAAAAATTAAACGAACCAGGAAAATTAGCAAAAAAAATAAGAAGAAAAACGGAAAGAAAAAAAAGAAAAATAATAATAAACTTTGTTGGAACATCACTTATGCCAAAAAGGTTTTTTGTTTATCTTAACTAAACTACATATTAATAGAATTATCTTTGTCAATTAAAAGAAGATGAAAAAATTATTATTACAATAAAAACGTTAAAGGCAATAACGTAATTTTACAAAACAAAATTTTGTTATTTTTAATTCAAACCCCACTTATAGGTAATTTTAACATATCTATTTTAAAAAATAAAAAAATAATACTCTCTCTCCTCACTCTTACGTTATCTCTCACTCTCTTGCTGCTCTGCTTTAACTTTAAAAACAAAACAAAAAATTAAGTGATGTTGTAAACATTCCTAGAATAAGTATGATTGTGTAAATCCTAGATTAGATTTGATTTTAGTTATCATTTCCTATTACAACTTGTATTACTTGGAGGAGAAGGAATATATTCTCTCCCTTTACTACTATAAATAAAGGCACAATGTAGGAGGGATAACAACATATACATTCCCCTACAATTCTACAAACACACATCTCTCCTCTCTTTCTCTGCCGCCGGCCCTAGTCTCTCTGTCAGATAAAAATAGACCACAACACGTTATCAGCACGCTCCTACCGCTGCGCTTAGGAATCTGACGTTGGAGATTTTTTTTCTGCATCAAACCAGTTCATCCATATCATCACGCAATCAGGTTCTTTCCAAACAACGGTTTTTAACTCGATATTTTGTAAGCCCTGATAGCATGAACATTCACCATGATGCATGACCCAACTTTACGTTTTACGTATTTTAGATTCTACATAAATTGTGTATGCTTCATAACCAAAATTGCTACAATTATGTGAATTTGATATTTGTCATGAATTGAATCTTACATATGTACATGCATTGAAACTATTATTTGCATATGCATCAACGTAAATATGTGATTCATTAAAATTATACATGCATATAATATAATTGAATTGAAAAAAAAAACATTTTTTTTTTGCGATTGGGACCTCGGTTCTTTAGAACCCGTGACCACCATCCTGCAGATGGGGTCTCCACGCAAGCAGAGAGCATGCAGCTCTCCTTGTTCCCAGAAAAAACCCACAAAGCCAAACCCCCAACCCAAAATCCTGACACCCTTCCTGGTGTCCCCCGACCATGGCATGGCCTGCAGCCACAGCCTTGAACCTTTGGTTCATATTCTCGACGACCTGAAGTCGTCCCATGTCGACAATTGAACTGAGATTCAACGGAATCTCGTCATAATTTTTTGAAAATTCGATTTCAATTTGTAGGGTTTTGATATCATGTCGACATTTCATCTCCGTCGATAGATACTTGGTTCTCCGACGAACCATGGCTTGCACACACCAAGGACAACCACCTGCAGTGGCGTCGTCCTAGTTTTTCCGGCCTTTTTCCTCGGCCAAGCACACCCAGCGTCGCTGGGGTGTCTGCTACCTGCAACCCGAGCCCTAGTAGGCTCCAGCCTCTTGGCCCGTACGAAAAAAAAGAGATTTTTTTTTGGGCCAGCCTAAAGCGGCCCGCGCGAAAAAAAAACACAAATTTTGTTTGTTTCTGGGCTCGCTTTCAGCGGCCCAGTCTGAAGAAAAAAAAAAGATTTTTTTAGTTTTCTTTTGGGCCTGCTTGATGCAGCCCTTTGTGAAAAAAATATGTTTTGGGGGGTCTGCCCGCAGCAGCCCAACCCCCTGCTCTCCCCGTGGGCCTGTAGCCCCACCCGAGGGTTCTCGGCCTATATTTTTAGGCCCCGAGATTTTATTATTTAATATATATTTTTTTTAAATAATATGGGTTTTTATATTTTCACCCACACTTTAATTTGGCCTCGAAGACCAAAATAACATTCATTCAATTATCATTATACAATATTTTTGCATACAATATTTGTTGCATATTTGTTTGCATATATATTTGTGTTTGCCTGCAGGAATATATGAACCTTTAGTTCATAATTACTTTGAAACCCGAAGTTTCTTATAAACATGCCTTATTTGAAAACCTGAAGTTTTCACTTAAACATATCACCCATGAAACCCGAAGTTTTTCATGCGAAATTAAACCAATACATGTCTATTAGAACCTGTATGTTCTACTCCTATGTGAATGGATTGATTTTTCTCCATTACACTAACCACATCTTGTCCATCTATTTTGTGATAGGAACATGTCGAATTTGAACAAACTCGACTTCACCGCTTTGGAGGTCTCTGGGAGGAAACAAAGCCCCGAAGCGCCCAAACCTCGCTCCTAAGGGCCCGAACTTCAAGAATAAGGGCAAAGCACCTTCCACAATGAATGACGATATATGCTATCGTTGTGGTTCAAAGGACCATTGGTCCCGTGTTTGCCGTGCTCCCAAGAAGGTTGTAGATGAATATCATTCTCGTCGTAAGAAGTTTGAATCAAACTTCATGCAAGTGGACGCACCGGAGACTACAAAGATGGAGGTTTCTGACTTTCAGGAGGATACCACTCCTATGGAAGATTAGAATCTTAGACATAGACTTATTTTTTCAGTTAAAATAAGACAATTGGGGCCGAATTCCACCTAGTGGCCGAACCCCAACTTGTTTTTTTGGTTGATTTTGAACAATTTTCCTTTATGTTTTGGATTATTAGTTGGCGGTTTTTATTTTGGATATTAAGGTTTTTTTTTAATAAATGAAATTATTTTGAATTGATACTTGTTTTTATAAACTTTTATGCATGTGACCGATTCAAATTAATTTTTCATTCTAGGTATGACTAGTGGGAAAGTTAGTTGTCTGGCAGATAGTGCAACCACACATACTGTTTTGCGTGAACGCATCTATTTCACTAACTTCGTACCTAAGAATGCACCTCTGACAACCCTCTCAGGCCCATCCAACCTGATTGAAGGATACGGTAAGGCACGTATAATGTTGTCCAATGGTACAATCTTGACCATTGCTGAGGCACTCTATTCTCCACGTTCCGGAAGAACGTTACTAAGTTTCAAGGACATTAGAGATAACCATTACCACGCTGAAACCCACGTAGAAAACGGAGTTGAATTTCTGTGCGTAACTTCCTACGAATATGGCCAGAAGCGTATTCTAGAGAAGATGGAGCGTAACCCGAGTGGTCTGTATACTACGACCATATGCCCCATAGAATGCCATTATGTGGCCGGCCCTACCACAGGGACCGCGCACGAAATTACACTTTGGCATGATCGTTTGGGACATCCTGGACGAATAGCGATGCGCCGTATCCTCAAAACTTCACACGGGCATCCACTAACCCGAAGCTTAGGTTCGATCCATGAAATTGCATGTCAAACATGTTCTATGGGA